TCTAAAGGCAAAGATAAACTCAAAATTAATCCTATACCAAGAAGGAGAAAGGAAAGATACAGAGAACTCTGAAAGACTCCAATGCTATGAATGCCAAGGATTTGGCCACTTTTGCTTCAGAATGCCCTACTCATTTGAGGAAGAAGAAAGCCCTCGCTATCACTTGGATGATGAATCAGAATCTGATAAGATGAAAGTGACAATGAAGATCAAGGTGAAGAGGGTCATAAACAATTTTCTAGCTTTCATGGCGTCTTCTGAAGCTGAAGGACAAACAGATTCTCCGAAGATGTCAGTTGAGAATATCACTGATGATGAATCCTCAGAGATGATCATGAAGAGCTTGAGCAAGCTTATGAAAAAGTTGTATCAGGAGTCTCTTAATTTATTCAAATTGAATGACAAACTCACAAAGAAACTCAAAACATGTGAAAGTGAGAATGTCAAACTTAAGGAGAGAGATTTCGAGGCCAGGATTAATGCCATCAAGGTAGCTGATGACGACAAGTTCTTTGTGCAAAACTGCTTGACTTGTGAGACAGAGAGGAATGAGCTGCTGCAAACCCATGCCATGTATGAAGGAAAGATATTGAATCTCTCGAGATGTCACAAGATTGCTTTGAAGAACTAATGAATCAAGGAAAAAGGAAGAGCTCAAGTGTGCTATGGCTACCATTGGTCTTTGGAACAAAGGATCAAAGACTTTGGAGGATATCATTGGGTCTAACAAATGAGTTGTGACAAGAGTGGCATTGGCTTTGGTGGTAAGAAAGAGCAAAAACCAGAGTGCTTCAACATCTCATGATACAAGAACTCAAGGAAAGGGAGAACAAAAAATCAACACAAAGATGACTTTCTCAAACTTCCTAGAATTGGTAAGTAAAAGAAAAAAAAGGTACCACCCTGTACACCCTGTTTTTATTTGTCATCATTGTGGTATGCATGGTCATATTCGCCCTTATTGTTATAAGTTGCATGCGGAAGTGTATTTGCCTAGACTAGGAATAGGAGTTGGAAACCATGTCGAGACGGGTTTCATTGCAGGGGAAAGGAACCACAACATCAAGACACCACCCAAGAACTGCAATTCTCACAACTTTGTTCGTACTAAAGCCGTTTGGGTGAGAAAACTTGACTGTGTTAATTTGTTTATTTGTTTTAGCTTTTGGATTTTGTGTGTTGTTTTTAATGAAAAAAAAAAAAAAAAAAACATGTGTTGCTTGTTCATTTTTTTGTCTTCTGCTTTATTTTTTGAAAAAAAAAAGAGAAAAAAAAAATCGCCAAAAAGATTTACTTAGTATGGTTTTGCAAGCTTGAAATTTTGAGTGTCTTTGGTGTATATTGGAATTGATGAGAATATCCATTACATGTTAATATATGTGTGCTTTCTGTGGTCATTACTCGTTTTGGAGTGTGAGTTTTTTGATTAGTATGTCTCATTCTGTACACACTCTTGGATTAGCAAATTTTGAAGTCTTTCGCCTTAGTGATTATTTTTTTTGGACTTCTGGCATTGTATCTTTTGCTTTTCTAAAGGAATTGACCTATACTAGCATGTCTTGGGTGATGTGAGTCTCTTAACCACCGTACCATCCCTTTTGCACCTCCACGGCTTTCCCCTAATTTCTTTGCAGTCTAGCCATGAGGAAAAAGGTAACCTCAGAGGTCACCAACCAGGCCATCCTTATTATATCCATGCTTCTCTGGTTCGGTTTCCATACTCTTGAGCGTGTCAGCCACCAATGATTGTGCAAAAGGAAAAGTTAAAAGAAAAAGAAAAAAGAAAAAGAAAGAGAAGTAGACAAAATTATGCAAAAGAAAGAAAGAAAAAAAAAAGGGAAAAGATTCATTGATTGAGGGGGAGCCTCCGCCTTTACTCACCAAATACCCCTTGATTCCCTAGTGGTTTGACTTTCCTTTGTAGTGCCTTAAGATTCTCTTGGTCGGAGGTCCAGCTTTCATATCACTACTAGGATTGAATCTAGTGTTTGTCGAACTCCAAGAGTCACACACACACTTTCTTATCATGGGATCTATGCTTTTTCAGTTAATGCATCACTTTCTTTCATGAGGAATCTTCTACAAGCTGCGCACATTGTGCTTTTCTTGTAATGGTGCTTCTTGGATCCCATTCGCAACTTCTTTGCTGCACTTTTCCTTGCCAACATTGGGAGGCTTATACATGTTCATTTCCTTTGGAATCACATTTATATTTTACTAGTAGCCGTTATGTTGGTGATTGTCATAAATACTCTTGTGGTTGCAACAGTAGTTAAAGGATTTCGATACAATATCAAGAGCACACTACTGGTAAGGATTTACCAGTTACTTGCTTGACTACTCTTTTGTGCACCTTGATCTTTGACATCTCTGTTGACAGAGGGACCTTAGTTGTTCGATATTTGTAGGTTGGAATGTCTTTGGCACAAATTGGGGAATTTGCTTTTGTTCTCTTAAGTCGTGCTTCAAATGTTCATCTAGTTGAGGTAAATTTTCCATTTTTAATTTGTTAGCACGGTTTTAAATGGTTGTGTTGTGTCCACTTAAACTGAAGTCTTTTTTTTTTCAAACAGAAGTTTGCAATGTCAATATGTGTATTTCAAAGCTATTAAACTGATAAAAATACCATTAGCTTACATGAATTACAATTCTAATAATGCTATTGCATCAACCTTTTTCCATCTATGAACCTACAAGCCTCAATCATAGTTTTGGTGTGTGGTTTCATCCTGTGTAATTTCAATTAGAGAATGTAACTTGAATTTTGAAACCATTGCAGGGTAAGCTGTATTTGCTGCTGCTGGGCACAACGACTCTCAGCCTGGTCAGTAAGCCATTTTAATTGTGTTGCAAGTGATGCCATTTTAGTTCATAGTTCCCATTCATAATTCTTTTTGTGATATATATATATATATATTCATTTTTTATGTGAATGACTAGTTGGCGCCACATGGTAATAGTTAGAATTGGATCAATAGCATTCTCTTGGATGCCAATGATAATTTTGGGAGCAGTTTAGCTCATTTACATCTGATTCTTCTCTTTCTTTTATCTGAGACTGCAAATGCAGCCGCGCCAGGTTTAGCTCATTCACATCTGATTCTTTGCTTGGGAAAATATTTCGTTTTATGTGTTTTCTTGAATTACATGAATCAAATAAATTGTATTCTGGCATAAGCTGGCGGCATGTACCTTCTCCGCCTATTGGTGGGTATTGTAGTTTTCCTTGATAATAGGCAATGCCTTTTTGCTAGTGAAAATTTATGGGTTGATTTTAGCTTCAAAATATGAAAACAAATTATGAAAATTATAAGAAACAAGTCAATCTTTTATTCTTTTTGGGAATAAATATTGCTTTTAGTCTTTTGAATATATAATTATAAGCTACCTGGGCAGGCTATTGGGGCATTAATTGGGTGCGGATTCTGAGAAATTACCTGCTATCTATGTTTATTGTGATATATGACTTGAGCAACTTGTTATCTATGTTTATTGTGAATTTGAGTTTTTAGAATTCAGTCTGAATCTGTGAACAAAAAAACAAAAAAATTGGGTGATAGTTTTGCCTTCCTAGTACTGCATATCTTCAGTTAGGATTATTTTATTTTATTTTATTTTTTAGGATTGGAATAATTTTATATATCTAACTCACTTATGTGGGAAGGAGAGCCATTAAGTGGTAGGGGCAGGTGAACTCGCAACAGGTGAGATTACACCCTGATCTTATTTGTTGTTAAATGGTGTACAAAATATTTTTTTTTGGAATCTATGTTCTAAAAATTCTCACATTATGTGGAAGCATATGAGAGCTCTTTAGAAAGTCTGGCTATAAATAGGGTAAGGATGTGTACACTTGTAATATGATTAATGAAATTTGTTGAAATTTGATATGAGCTCTTGAGAAAGTCTTGCTATAAATGAGGTAAGGATGCATATAATCTATTTGGTATTTATTTAATTGGCTATTTAAATTAAGAAGCAATTTAAAAGCTTCAAAAGCAGTGCTCTATGTGATCATTGCGAGTTGGTTGAAACGAACGTAGCTTCAAAAGCTTGCTTGTTCCAACACATGTGGCTAAGTTCATTTGGTCACAACTTCTTGCATTAGATTGTAACAATGTTTCTGTAACATTCATTCGAATGAGGGCATCTTTCTTTTGAACATAGAGTTGTTACGAGTTAAGTCTAATTTATAGAGAGTTCATTTGAACGTAGAGTTGATATTCCTAATGAACTTTCCTTTTAGACTTAATATTGTTTTTTTAGCATTATTTAGATTTATATTTAATCAACTAAAATGTGTAATTTTGTGGATATGTAATAGAAGTATGATCTATGGCATAATTTGCAATTTGCTATTGCTGTGACTTGTGAATTCTGTACAAACCCCTCTCTCCCCAATACCTGCTATTAATGAGTATCTAAATTGTTACATTATCAGGATAATTTCAGTTCCTCGATTCCAATGGATGGAAAAACAGAGCTTCAGATTTTATCTTTCCAAGCTCCCAAGATCAGACTCCTATGTAGTTTGTGTGTTGAAGGGAATGAAACAATGCAGGTATTGTACTCTAGCACAATTCACTTTATCTACCTTAACACTAGCTTTTGTTATATGCCATTCAAATTTTTAATTGGCCAAGTATTGTGTAGAAAATCTTCGAGGAATCCTTGAGAGAATCGAATTTGTGGAGGGTGTTCTAAATAGAAACCTCAAGTAACGAAACTGGATGAGAGAGAGAGAGAGAGATGAAATATACAATGTAAGTTGCAGTCCTCAAACATCAGTTGAGCTTGGAAGGATTTCTGTGTCTGTGCTCATCTTAGGTGCACCTTACCCTACCATACCTATGAAGAATAATCATCAAAGTAGATTCAAACCTCAAGCCTCAGGGTGTTACCTCATGTCTTGATTTCCCTCTTTTAATTTTTTATTATGGAATGCTTCCTTGTTTTCTTTCTTTATTAATATTTTTTAATTTTAATTTTATTGTTGTCATCTTGCATATATCTTGTAGTTTCACCATGTAGTGCTTACTTTGAATGGAAAGCTTACAAGAAGTTGTGCAATTTGAGTTCAAACCTGCTCATAACGTCAAATGCCTTCGATTCTTGTGTGTTCCCATTCCCTTTTATACAGATGGTCGTAATAAAAATGAAATTTTTGTCCTTTGTGTTTCTATGGTAGGTTTTATAGCAACATTGGTTTTACTAAGTGTGTTATTCAAATTTGCAGGATCATAGGCCTTTAAAAGAGCCATCAAGGCTTTTTGAGAGCATGGTGGTTGTTGGACTTCATCCTAATTGTGATATTCAGGCACTTCAGAAGCAGTACTTTGGGAGAAAGTCTGAAGGTTCGGGTAAATTTCGAAGTGCATTCAGTGGTCAGCATCAGTCTCGTGTAGAACCTAACCTTGAACCCCAGGTGCTAATTCTTTTATGCTAAACATTGAACATAATAATTTTATAGATCATTGGACATGTTTTGGATATGATATATGACCTCTCAGTTTTTTATTTTCAGGTCTTATTTGTTTATCCTCCTGAAAAACAGCTGCCACTTAAGTATAAGGATCTTCTTTCATTCTGCTTTCCTGGAGGTGTGGAGGTTAGTTGGATATGAGATTTATTTGTTAATGAGTTCATGTACTCTGAATAAATTGAAATTTATTTCCAGATATGTACTGTAGTTACACGGGCATTTTGGCTGCATAGAATTTAATTATGCTTAATATTATTGAAATTCAAGAAAGTAAACCTTGGAAGTTCTGAGAGATACTCGTGAACACATGGATGGGCACATAGAAGTCGCAGATGAGGTTTGATGTCACTCACATATCTCCATTTCATCATAATTAGAGGATTGTGACCATCTTGATGCATCATTTCTTGCAGAGCACTTGAAGACTTAAAATGATTGAACGAAGTTAGTTATCAATTATCTACTATATTATCATATTCTCTGAAGTTTTGGCATTTGATAATGTTCACATAATTATGATAATTAGGGTTATGCATTTTCTAGTTCTTAATTGTATTATTTGTTTGTGGGTCCGAATTTTTTTCCTTTTCTCTTATTGTAACTAGTACATGGCTATGGATGTGCACATTTCAACTTTTGTAGAATTAAAAATGTCCTTTTGTTTACTCTCAAAGGAGATTTGCCCAACATTATGTAGCCTTTTTGTTTATAAATTTTCCATCATTCAATATGGAAATGATTTTTGGAGTTTTAAATGTTGGTTCATGTGATTTCAGGTTCATGCTATTGAAAAAACTTCTTCAATGAGCGAGTTGAATGAAATACTTTTTGGGCAGGTATCCTAAAGCTTCCCCAATCATATTATTAGACATTCTTGTTATCATCCTCATCATCACCTTCATCATCTAGTGAAGTGAACAGATAAAAGCTAATGTTTACTTTATCTTACCTTCTTAACGAAACTGGATGATGAAGGTGATGATGGGAAGCAGCATGGAGAGCGATTCAGAATGACAATGAAGGATGGATGGGGGCTTTCCTTTGGATTCTTATTTCTCTTCTTTTTTCTTTTTTCTTTTTTTCCTTTGATCTGATTGGGGAGTTGGGTGTTTTGGTTCACTTTCTTCTTATTTTTTGTGTTAAATGGGGGAGGGAGTGGTGAGAGATAGAGAGAGAGAAGAGAGTAATATTATTTTATGGCTTTATAGCGACCCCGGTCTTTCCCCATTTGATTATTGTATCCGGACTTAGGTTCCGTAGATTTTTTCATTTTATAATTGTTGTTGTTGTCCTTTATTTTCTCTTTTGGAATTATAGGATGTGTTGGGCAGGTTTGTTTCAGGTTGGTTGGGTTTAGAAACCAAGAGTTGCTGTCCAGGTTTTTGGTTCTTCGCTCGAGCGAGGAGTTGTTCGCTCGAGCGAGAGGTAGTGTTTGATTTGGACCTGTAGCTGTGCATTCTTGGCTCGAGCGAGCTTTTCTTCGCTCGAGCGAGTTAGTTCATCGTTCTTCGCTCGAGCAATAGTTCCTTCGCTCGAGCGTGTGTCTTGTTGCAGACCTGAGGGTTTGAGTTCTTCGCTCGATCGAGCTTTCTTTCGCTCGAGTGAGCTTTTGAGTTGTTGGCTCGAGCAAGGCTTCCTTGGCTCGAGCGTAGTTTCTCTGTGTCTGGTCGCTCGAGCAACCAAGTCTTCGCTCGAGCGAGCCCGTCCAGTTTATATACGCAGCAGCGGGTTTTGATCAGTCTTTTCTTATTCTTTTTGGTTCTAGACC